ATTCACACTAAGATGTAAGGGGTATGGGTTTTACCCCCTCCAGGGGGCACGTACCTTTCTACATGAAGAAACCATTGTGTTTACCTGACTGTGGTTGCCAGGTATCAGTGAAGGGCAGTGGCATTGTAGGCGAACCTAGGTGTATCCATGAGTGAGATCCCTTCAACTTTCTGAGACTCAATTTGCTCATCTATAAAATGGAGTCCAATGACACCTCTCTGGCCACCTTCCAGGGTTGGTGTGAGTCAGCACACACAAAAAGTATTTGTTAGCTCTAAATTCCTGGACAGAAGAAGGGATTTGTCGTGCCATGATTTTGGGCTAGGGTGGGGTCTTCCCACACCTTCCAATCACACAGAGGAAAGAGTGGCCATGTGTGGAAGCCCCTTCCTTTGCATCTTGTAGTTGCCAAGGATGGGAACCCTGGTAACTGTCTCACCTTTAGCTCCACCCCTGGGGTGAGAGAGAGTCCAAAATAGGTCAGCGGAGACCAAATCTTGCCACTTTCACTCATCTAGAGCTCCCCATCCCCTGCCTGGGCAACCAGCAGTGAGGACTCCTCTGGTAGTCAGAACAGGGACCCAGATCTCCCATTGCTCCCCACCACCCCTGAATCTGCCCCAGCACACGATCCTATTCACTGGTCTCTCTGAGCCTCCCTGCACCAGGGTGGAGCCTGCCTTGAGTGGTCTTTGAGCACAGACACCTTGCTCTGATCTCTCAACCCCCAGAACCTGGTTACTCATTAGTCATGTTCATCTCTCCATCCTAATTTCTCCATCTGTGTGGAGATGGGGAGCAGAGAGGTGATGTGACCTGCTCAGTGTCACACAGCACAGTCCTAGAACTCCAGGTGGCCCCAGCTCTTCCAGAGGGATTGCTTTTCCTTTCTGTCCTCCTCTCTTCTCTTTTGCTTTCAACACCAACCACGGGCTCTGCAGCCCTCAAGCTCCCACTCTGGAGCTTCATCATAATGGACTGAGAAGCCTCTCCCTCAGCCATCGCACTCTTTGGAGGTGGGCTGGGCAGGACTCATGCCTAAAGCAATCAAATGGCCATGCACACTGTAAGCAACACCCTTTATCCTACCTGCAGCCATGCAGCCAGCCTCTGCAGGACTCTCTGCTTTTCTGCTTCTTACTCATCCTCCAACCTCTGAGAAATTCTTCAGAGCTCCTCATCAGAATGAAGTTCTCCTCAGGACCTCCTGCACCAGGCCCTGTTGCTGTGTCACAAAAACACATACACTGATAATTAAAATCATATTTCTTCCTTTTTTTTTGGTAGTACTGGGGTTTGAACTCAGGATGTTGTGCTTTCCCGCATGACCATCCTGAATGGTGAGTCCCCTATTTTCCACGTAGCTGGAATGACAGGTGCTTACCACCACCACATCCAGCTACTGGTTGAGATGGGGTCTTTTTGCCCAGGCTGGCTTGGAACAACGATCCTCTAGATCTTTGCCTCCTGAGTAGCTAGGATTATAGGTGCAGGATGCAGGTGCCTGGCTCTGTATTTCTTGAATTGAATTGAACCTCAGGCCTGAGCAGTTTGAAGTCACATACCTGGACTAAAATTGCCCAACAATGAGGAGAATGACAAGGGTAGCAGAGGGGGAAGTGGAGGAAAGAACGGAACCCCACCTAACCGCTTCCTCTTTGACTGCCAGGCTCCCATCTCTCAGGTCTTCCCATCCTTGCCCCAGCCTACCCCGCCTGGCTGAGCAGGTGAGGAGGAGACTCATCAGAGACAGGCAACAGGTCAGTGTTGGTGGCTTGTGTCTGGTATGAGTTCATTTAATGACCAATTTCCTGGAAAATCCTCTCTCCCCACCTTAATATCTGCCTGGGCACCTGCAGCTACAGCCAGGGACAGCTCCAGGTACAAGTGGGTGGCTTCTCACCTGGGGTAGCCTTACTGCAGGCTAGAGAACTGGGTCCAGACCAGTTCTGAGTAGAGACCCAGATTTCTCTACAACTTTACTTTAGGTTTATCTGCAGCAAGTCAAAATTGTCGGGCCAGACTTATCCCAATAGGGCAACCAAGAGCCTGGGGCCCCTGAGGGAGCTTGTGGAAAGTTCTCTGGGTGCTTTTGGAGGAAGAGTTAACTTGGTGAGTGCTTTGCATGGCAGAGGACTTTCTAGCAGTGCTGGGCTTAGGACAACTCATCTGGACAGTTAGCATGGAGGGTAGGGGACTAAGGCAGGGTAGTCTGCTGGGGAGTATTGTCCTAAGAGGCACTGTCTGTCCCCACCCAGACTATTGTTCTGGTTGTGGTGATTCATGGCCTGCCAACAGGTCTGGAGGTGTTGGGGCAAGCTCCAGCTTCTCCTCCTCCCCCAATTCTGTCCCAGTAGGCACATTTGGAGGTTGGTTATAGGCCTTCATCCAGCGGGCTTGCTGCTGGCTACTTCCCCAAGGCCTGGCCAGACCTTGCCTGTAGCAGATCAGAGCCATTCCTGGGGGCCCCAAATGTCCTGGCAGCCTCCTGACAGGTAGCTCCCTAGGGGGAGATCTGGGGACACTTATAGGATAGGCACACATGCCTGGTATCTCTGAGCCTCACCAACAGCCTGCTAGGTAGGTAGCACAGGCATTGTCACTTCTTTGTTTCAGTTGGGGAAACTGAGGCACATGACCTTAGTCTTGACTCATAACCCACCCCCTCTTGATGTCAATTCCTGCTCTCTTTCCTAGACCCAAATCAAGGACCATTGTTCAGAGGAGGGAGGGCCCCACACACTGATATACTTGCCAGGCCTGGGTGGTGGCAGCTGGCCTGGGTGGGCAGGTATCATCCCTACCCAGTCAAGCTTAGGTGATTTCTTGGGACTGGGCCAACCTTATCTAGGAGACTGGGGGAGAGGCCTCTAGAAATATGTAGGCTTTTAGCTCCTGGGGAATAGCAACCTTGAGGGCTTCTACTGGGCCTTCAGGGGTCACATGCTGAAACTCAAGACTTCTTGTCTATGTTTCTTGTGGTTGGCTTTGGATTCCTTGGACATCCGTGGGGGCAGCAGTGAAGAGTAGCAATGATATCCCTGGGTTTCTCCACTATGTTCCAGGCACTGTGCTAGTCTTGCCATGCAATGTCATATCTCCTGTGCCCAAACCTGACAGCCAGCTTCACTCTATTCCTATTGGCACTTGAGAGGCTGGTGTGACAGCAATCAGAATCTCTCAAAGGCAAGTGCCAGTGCTGGGTGGTGCCCACGTCTGCCACCTCTTCGTGTTGGGATCCAGGCTTCACTTAAGGGCCTGCCACTGAAGCAGGAGGTAAGCTTGCTTACCAGGTCTCCCAGCTATAGCTCCTCTATACCTCTCCCCCACTGTGGTCCCAGGGGCTCCTTCCTTCCCTCTCTCAGTCACCCAGAACCATCTGCTCTACCCTGGACTGGCTGTAAGTCACCTCCCTCTGGCCTGAGCTGTCTTTTGACTTTGCTTTTTGCCAACGCTGCACCTGCTGGTGTGCCTGCTCTGAACGGCACAGCCAACATGCCTGCTCTAGGCCAGCCATCTGCCAAGGGACCAGGAGGTGCCCAGTCATCTCAGCTGTGCCCATCCCAGAGCACTCAGGCTGCAGGAGGTGTGCCAAACTGGCCAAGCCCTCCAGCATCTGAAGGACAGATGCTTTGGGAAAGGTCTGCCTGTTGGTATTGCAGTATGAAGGTTGATCCTCCCTGCCTCCCTACCATCAGGGTGGCAGCACTGATTCGATGTCTTTCTAAACCCTGGATGAGAGCAGGAGGTGGAGCCAGAGTGAGGGTAATTCACCTTTTTTTTCCTTTTCTTTTCTTTTTCTTTTTTCTTTTTTTTTTTAACAGAGGGAGCCTAGGCTCAGTCACAAATAAGGAAGTGTCAGTGACCATCAGAGAAACAAAACTCAACTCCCAGATGGCAGGATTCAGAGCTTCTCTGGATGCCCGCTGTCACAGTGAGGGAAACAGAAGATGTAGTTGGGGACTGAACCCTCCCCCCTACCACCACACACACACTGTTGGCTTTGCATCCTCAGGATCAGCTCTTCCCCCTCCCTTTCAGTGTGGACTGTGACTGGCAGTGACATTTAAGAGCCAACTGAGGGAGGCACCTGACCTTGGGGAGGAATGTGGGAAATGCCTGCAGCCTGGAGCAGCCACCCCCTACCTGGGGCCCAAGAATGTGGGGTCTGGGCCACCTGTGGCCCCCAAGGGAAGTGTGTGCATGTGATTGGAAGAGAAGCGGGGATGGGGGTAGGGGGGGCTGCAAGGTCCAGGAATGATGCAGTTGGAATGTCTTGTAAAGTCACTTGTGAAACTCTTACATGGTACAGAGGGCGAAGTCAAACTGTCAATGCCACCTTCCCTGTGGTGCCAGAACTGCATGCTCTTAGAGAATTGTCCTTGATTCCTAGAGTCTCCCTGGACCCTGAGGCCAAAGGCACAGGTGCAACTTGTCAGACCCACAGAACCACAGAATGTTAGGGCCTTGGAAGTGAGTAGTGACTGTATTCATTCTACTTTACAGATGGGGAAACCACGGCCCAGAGAGGGGGTGTGAGTTGGCCACAGATGCACTAATTATGGGCCAGGTCTCAGGTTCTGGGCTCTGGAACGGCTGCTTTTCCCACAATGCCGGAGGTCAGCATCTCCTCCTAGAAAGGAAACTTGGGGCCCTTTCCAAACTCCTGCTAGGAATACAGTGCTTTCTAGGCTCCCCTTCTGTAGGACCTGCCAGGTGTGGGTGCTATAGCCACGGAACAGATTCTGGGGCCAGACATCTATGCAGAAGTCTACACTGCAGCTTCTGGAGAGCAGGTGCTTTGTGTCCTGGCTGGACAGAACTGGCAAGGCCAAACCTGTGTTTGGGACTGAACGCTGAAATACGGTTTGGAGTGGGACTCTGCTGCCCTCTCATGGCTACACCTGGGCATGACAGCTGTCACACAGGCTGCTCCAAAAGATAGGAATCTCCCAATTTCCCTCCTGCTAAAAGTGTTCTAGGAGGGTGGATGGGGCTGGATTGGGAGGTGTCATATCATAGACCAGAGTGTTGCTTGCACACAGCAAGGAGAGAAGGGTGATGGTGTATTGTTCAAATGTCAGCACCATCCTGGGGGGAAGAAGGCCTCAGGCCAGCAAGCAAGGCCCAGCCTATGCTACCCAGAATGCTAAGGTATGGGGAAACACCTGGTAGAATCACAGAGACAACCTAATCAGCCAACACCAGACAGGATGGTTTGAAAATTTAGAGGATATTTATTTCTCGGGAAGGTCCACAACAGCTGGCAGACACCACTTTCCCTGTGCGAGGGGATTTCCGCCCCCTCCTATTCTGGAAAAGTCTCCTCTGTGCTTGGAAGTGCCCATGGGGAGGCTGGGATATGAAGAGAAACCATACACAACACTCTAGAGCCTTAAAAAAATAAAGCAACAACCTCTTCCCCACAAATACACACATATAAAATAAATAAGACATATAAAAGAGAGGCCACATTCTTCCTACCCAGCTATGGGGCTTCACCCCACTCTCTAGCTGGGATTATCCAGAGGCTACATGGTATTGAAGTGTGATGAGTAAGAATAAGCCCTGGCTTCAGAGGGAGGATGGATGGGTCCTCTCCCTGGAGCCCAGCAGGGAAGATGCGAGGGTAAGGTGGGAAGGAACAAATAAATAAATAAATATAGATTCAACAACGTGCTCCCAGAGGCCTAAGGGCTTGGACCAAGGCTTGGAGCTCCTGGGGTCTATTTCCCTGAATAGCAAATCCAGTAACAGGCAGAAAGATGCTCAGGGAACTCAAGTTCAAAGCCACATTTCACCTGGCCTCCAGAGCCTGCATCCTTCAAGTGACAGAAGGGCCCAGACCCAGAAACCAAGCCTCAAACCAGCTCTGGCAAGAGGGGTAAGGGGTGGGCTGAGCTCCCAGTGGCTGTTCCATGCCTGCTTGCTGGCCCTGGAGGTGGCCCGAAGGCTGGACTGTCTCCATCCTGTGCTCTCTGAGGCCAGCACAGCCTTCTCCCTCCCTACCCTTCATCCTGACCATCTCCACTGAGGGGACTGTGGCTGCCTCCATGGTGGGTTCTTCTCTAGTGAATTTGAGGCAGAGCCCTGGCCTTCTCCTGTCTTAGTGGCCTTCCCGACTGGGATATCCAAAGGTCAGCTAACCGAAGTCCTATACATAATAAAAACAATCCAGCCTCGATGTCCTCCTCTGCTCCATTTGGCCGAGGTATCCCCTCTATCTCCAGCCAGGGCTGCTCCCGCAGGCCAACAGGGAGGAGGTGTCAGACATAAGCAAGTACAGAGAAGGGGAAGGAGCTCCTGAATGGACAGTTTGGGCAGGAGACCAAACCCAACACACAACGCAAATCCAAGGGACTCGCAGGGTCCTTCCTGGGGAAGTACGGCCAGCAGGGGGCTGGAGAACACAGGGTAGGGGTGGGCTGACCGCTCAGCTGGGCAGCAACACGTGCTCCAGGAGGTAGGTGAGGGAGTCCCAGTGCTTCCAGAGGAGGAAGAGGACGAGGACCAGGAGGGTGGTGCTGGTGATGCGCAGGCGTGTCTTCATGAGGGGTGTGATGAAGTTGGCGATGGTGGACACAAACACCAGGAGCACGGCCATGAGTGCCAGGATCACGTTGATGAACTTGCCCAGCAGTGCCCGTGCGTTGGCATTCTCCACGCCTTCCAGCTGCACCACCTGCTGCTGTTGCTGCTGTAGCTCTAGCTTGGTGACGCGCGTCAGGCAGGACTCCACGGCCTCCTGTACAAGTGGGGATAGCAAACAGGAGCTCAGGACAGGTGGGACCCTAGGTTGAGCCCTCCTTGCCTGCTATGGTCTGGACAGAGTTTGAGTGTGATCTCTAGGGGCTCATGGGTGGAAGCTTGGTGGTGATGTGGTGGAACATTTAAGAGGAGAGGGCGAGTCAAGGCTGTGAGGTCACGGGGGATAATGCCTTCAGATGGATTAAAGCTGGTCTCTCAGAGTGGGTTATTTCCTGTGAGAGTGGGTTGTTCTAAAAGAGCAAGTATGAACCCTGAATCTCTCTGGCTTTCTGCCTTACCATGTGATTTCCATCTGCCATGTGATACATTTGCCATGATGTCCTAATCAGAGCTGAGCGGAAGCCAGCACCATTCTCTTGGACCTCCAGAACTGTGAGCTAAGTAAACTCTTTATAAGTTACCCAGTCTCAGGTGTTTTGTTACAGCAACATGAAATGGACTAATATAGAACCTCACGCAGAGGATGATGCTACACTGGGTCTCCTCTCTAAAAGCCAAGAGGGGCCTGTGGATCGGCAAGAGCTGGGAGCAGGGCCCTTTACTGATGGCTCTTTGGGGGAGGATGCAAGGATGCAGGAGTCTTGCTTGATATGGGAAGGGTAGGTGCTGGTTTGATCCCAGTTCCCATTTTGAGACAGGGTAGTGTCTGGAAATGCCAATTATTCATTTGCAAGGCCACCTGCCATCAAAGAGGTAGGGGCCATGATGGCCCTCGCCCACTGACTTGCCTCTGCATAGTGCACACACTCAGCTGCAGCCTGTCTTGCTTGTTCTTTTCTCCACCCCACCTTTGCTCCCCTCTCCGTCCCTGTGTCTATCTGCCCTACTAATGAGACAGCCTGTACCTATTACCCCCCATGTGACAAATCTCCCAGTGCTCTGACTGCTGCCAGCTCTCCTAGCACACCCAGGCCAGCCCCAGGGTGGTCCCGGTTATACCTGAGTGTCTCGCGCCCTCTCGTAGGACTGGTAGGCCACCTTCTCCTCCATGCTGGCCAGCTCCTGCTTTAGGTTGGTCATCTCGTTCTGATGAAGCTCGGTCAGGTCGTTGAGTTGCTCCTCCAGCCGCTCATACCTGGTGATAAGAGAAAGGGTGTCACCAGTCTTAGTTCTGGAGCCACCCTTCTCTCCCCAAGATTCACTCACTCTCTCAGCAAACACTGATGCATGCAACCCACTCCACGTGTCCAGCCCTGCTCTAATTTTAACCCCACAACAATGGAGGCTACTGTGTGCACTTAGCCTGCCTTATTTCTGGATTTATTAAATGTGGTTTTGACCAAGTGTGGAAAAAAAAAATAAGTAAAAATTTAAAAATCAAATTTCAAGATGGGTGCTGGTGGCTCACGCCTGTAAACCTCTAGCTACTCAGGAGGCAGAGATCAGGAGAACTGCAGTTTGAAGCCAGACGGGGAAAATACTTCATGAGACCCTATCTCAAAAATACCCAACACAAAAAAGGCTGGCAGAGTAGGCTCAATTGGTAGAGCTCCTGCCTAGCAAGCATGAAGCCAAGTTCAAACTCTAGTACCACAAAAAAAAAAAAAAAAAAAAGAAATTTATGGGAACAAAAATATTAAAATTCCCATATGAATATTATACAGTTCAACTGATGCAAAGAAGCTCCCAGTCAGTTGTCAGTTGGGTTTAAATTATTGTGTGATCTGCAGAGTGTTTCCCTGCCCTTCATTTTGTGAAAACCTGTCTCCCAAAAGCAAATGTTGTCCAAAAGCAAAAGAAGTATAGTAATCCTCCCAAGCCAAAGAAGGTACACAGTGTGCTTAACTTAAGGGATAAAAAGTGAAATTTAGATCTGTTGAAAGGCGGCATGTCTTTAGCAGAAGTTGGGCAGTGCTGTGAGAAAAATGAGTTAAGCACACACAGAATCATGCATCCTGAGCGTTTTCTCCCACGGCGGTCTCCGTGAAGCCATGTGTCTGTGGGTACCAAGGACTGCACATTACACTTCCAGTGCAGGTCCTATGCTAAGCATGGCCTCAGAGGATCTTCACCACAGCCCTGTGCTAGTGTCAGACAGGGAGACACAGGGGTCAAGGAGCCCACCCCGATCACACAGCTCTGAATGGGGAGTTAAGGATCTATTGACTTCACCCTGGGCTCTTAAGCCCTGGCGAGGAGGCTTTCTGGATACCAGGGACACCTGAATGTAAAGGACAAGATCTCTGCTCTGAAAGGCACAAAATATCAAAAGATGGTGGAATGTGGAGATGGTTAGTGTTCAGGTGGGATTGCCCCTCAAGGTCAACACCCTTTTTTCACATATAGAAAAAAGAAAAGGTCCTAAGTAAGGAAAAGATCCTCCAAACTCCCAGAGAACAAGTGCCAAGTGCCATACTAGAGGCCAAGAGCAGAGTGACTGAGAATGGGGAAACAGGGAGGGGGACCAGACTCCAGCTTAATTCTAGGCTGGCCTGAGGTGCTTCCACTGGAGTTCAAACTTTCTTCCACTGGTGTTCAAATCACACTTTGAATTTACAGTTTGGACTCAGTCTTCACAAACTCACGAGCTTGAAATTAGAGTTCCCCTCACTGCATGGATGGGGAAACCAGGTGTGGAAAACCTAACTGCTTTGCTCAAGGTACAGTAGCTAACAGAACTGGGATTTTAACCTAGTAGCTGCCCCCAGAGTCAGTGTCTTCACCAGAGTGTCTGCAGAGGACAGGCCTTAGAGCTGGTCCCTGCCTGAATTTCCCCTCTGTGCACTAACGACATAACATCCAGACAGGGACACCTAAAGCAGACAGGTAGTTCCTTCCTGTCTTCTAGCTGCCCTGACCCATCTGGGAAAAGCTGCTCAGGGCCTCTTCCTGGCCTCTGCCAGCAGCCCACAATCTTCTACATGCTCCTCCATCAGCCTCCATGGCCCGAGTGTCCTTACCTGCCACCGGCACTGCTGGGTGGCAGTGGGGCTCAGCACCACCTACCTGTAGCGCTCCTCTTGCAGGCACTGGGTCATGTAGGTGTAGTCCCTCTGCAGCTGAGTCTTTAGGTCCTCCATGGAGTCCTCAAGGTGTGACTGGCCCTCTTTGATCTCCCGCAGCTCCTCCAGCAGAGTGTCCAGGTTTCCAGGGGCGCCATACAGTGTGTTGGACTTGGGGCTTCCCAGTGCAACCCCAGGCCCAGCCCCAGAGTTGCTGCCTGCCCCGGCTGAGCTGGCGCTGGCACTGGAACATTCGTCATCACTGCCATACTTGGGACTGGACACTAGTGTGGCACTGCCACTCAGTGCCCTAGCTGCCTCCTCTGGGGGCCCATCTTCCAGAGGGTCCTTTAAGTGGGCGATGTTGTCTGCGCTACCAAACTTATTGCGAATGAGGCTGGCAAACTCCCGGGGCTTGGATACCACGGCGGTGTGGGTGGCCTGGGAGAGGCCAGAGAGGCTGCCCTTGACACCTTCCACCACACCACCCCCAAAGCCACTGATGCCTGCACGCATGTTGGCGCCCACATCCTTCAGCCCCTGCTGCATGTCCCGCAGCACGTCCTTGGGCTGCCGCGAGGGCCCGTTCTGCTCGATCTCCTTCAGGCGCCGGCGGTAGTGCTCCAGCTTCTTGTGCAGCTGGGCGATGGTCTGGGCCGACTTCTGGTTCTTCTTCTCAAACACCTGCTTGATGCGTGACACCTGCTGCTTGTCTGCATTGTTGGCCAGCTTCAGGTACTCTGCCACGTTGTCGTCCCGTGCCTCCTGTTCGATCTTGATCTGCTCTGTGATCTTCAGGATCTTCTGGTGTAGGTGGTCAATGGCAGCCTTCATCCGCTGGGGGTCCGGTACCCCTTCAGGCACATCCAGGCTGATGGGGCCATCAGTGTCACCATGGCCGGGGCCGGAGGGGAGGCTTAGGGCCACGAGGTCTCCCTTGTCACCCTGGGGAAGGAGGCAAGCAGAAGCAGTGTGGATGAATAATGAGACCAGAGGAAAGATCTCCACAGGTCAGCCCTGGCTACCTCTGGACTTGTTTTTTTTCACTGCAAAGTGGATGCAGGATGAATTTCAAGGAAAGAGTCTAAAAGAACATCAACAACAGGACTTACAGCTGCACATGCTTGCCTCATACAAAGCAGTCTCACGTCCGCTCTCCTCAGGCCCTACCGCATCTCACAAGTGCAGTCTAGATAGATCTGCTCTGTCTTTGGTCCAGAGAGGTCTAGCAAGTGACTTGGGGACACATAGCTGTGAAAAGTCAGAACCAGCCCAGAATTCTTGTTGCTCTAGTACAGGGACCCAGCAGGTCTGAGGCCTCTTCAGAAAGTCCCAGGTGGATTTCTCAGGGATGGGATGAACTCTCTGGACTCAGCCTCCCAATAAGGCTCCTGCCTTCAGCAGGCCTCTCCATCAGGCTGACCACAGCCTACACTTCAGATCCCCTGCCCTCTTGCCCTCTCACCCCATCTTCACTAACACAGCACACAGATCACCCATCACTGCTGATACTACTCCCAAACCCCGATTACCTTCCAGCTCTCAGAGGTCATCAGTAACCTTTTCTGTTTCATGATGGTGGGAGCACCCGGCCCCTCCCAGTTTCCCAGAAATGGGAAGGAGTGGGCACCCACCCACCCTGCTGGCCAGGCCCCAGAAGACTGAAGTTCCAGAGTTAACTCACTGGCCCAGCAGAGGGCAGTCTGGGGGTCTGAGGGTATCTGCAGCCCTACTGGGAAGGGGAAGAGTATGCAGGAAGGATGGGAGAGTCCCTCTTTCTCCCACCAAGTAGGGAGGCTTCCCAGCACATCAGGGTGGCACAAAACCCAAAGAAGAGAGAAGGATGGAGAAAGGAAGAGGGAGAGAGAAAGGAAGGAGAGGTCACGGGAGATAGGAAGGACAGGACTCAAGGTTGGATGTGCAGGCAGGCCTGCAGTGGCTCTCTGGGTCTGCTGCCCTGCGCCTGTTGGAGAACCTCCGTCCACAGCTGAGTCCCTGTGCCTTATCGCCACGCAAGAACGGAAGCAGCAGGAAATGGCTCAACTCTGTGTATTTTTACACACAGCACGCCCCGAGTAAGGCTGGGTCGGATCACTGTGGTGGGGTAAGACATAGGTGGGGAAAAGGGTTAAACACTAAACACAAAGTGTCCCAGTCGCACACACTGGAAGCAGACCCGGCCTGGAGTGCCTTCTATGGGCAGAAGTCATTGCTTGATTTCTTCCAAGGCGTGGTTATTGAAAAAAGCTATTGAAAACAACAGCCTTGCCTGGGGAGGAGGGTGGCTCCTCTGTGGGCTTCCTCTGGGGCTTTTTCAGGTCACAGGTCCCCTGAGGACTCTGGGGAAGAGGACAGTCCCTCCCTCAATCTCTCCTGAAGTCAGGGCTTTCCTCTTGGGTTTGCTTTGGGTTTCCCCTCAGGTTTTTTTGCCTTCAGAACCCCTTCTCCTCAGATTCTCTGACCCTCCACACCAAAGAGTCAATTTTGGATTCCCTTAAATGATCTCTCCCAAGCTGTGTGTCACCAGCCTGACTTAAAACCTTGCCCTCCTATCTTATTCCTCTCCATATTTTCCTGAACCACAGTATCCTCACCTGTAAAATGAGTGTAATCATGTCTACTTTTAGGTCTCTCGTGAGGGTTACACAGATGATGTTTGGCAAGCACTTCGTGCAATGGCATACAGATGGTACTTGCTAAATGCTGAGTCTGGATCTAGGCAGTGTAATCCTCCCCACCCCCATGGTGAAGGAGGGGAGCTGGAAATGCCTGTAATCAAGCTCGACTAAATTTAAGAGATTACACAAAATTTCCTCAATATTGACAGAACTATAGAAAATTAAGTTCTATATGCAACACATGGCCTTTAATTTCAAAGATCTTGGGCCTCTTATGATGCCCAACCCTCCTTCACACTCTCTTCACGGGTTTGGGGTTGGGGGAGAACATTCAGGAAATGGGCTTTGCTAGTAATGGGTTCAACTGGACAGGTTGGCTGTGTCCTGCCCTATCACCACTTGTGGAGAAGGGAGAGCTCTGTCCTACCTACTTACAGAATGAAAATGCAAAGGGCTTTACTACAAGGGAGAATTCACCTTCCATGTCTCCTTTTTTGGCAGCCTGGCTCTTTTTTCCCTCCACTTGGCATCTGTCTTACAAATGGAAAAGCAGAGTTGAGGCTGGCTATAAAATGCCCGTGAATGAGACTAGACACTCTAGAGGCCAGGTGGTGGCATGGGGAGGCCCGAGACTGGGTGCTGTTCCCCTCACCTGCCGTCTTCTCTACCCTGTGGCCCAGACTTGTGAGGGTGGGTCCTACACCAGGACCCCAGCTCTGTCCAGCTCAAGAACCCCTTGGTGATGTGAAGATTCTCAATGTGACTCAAGCTGGAGGGTCTCTAGTCACAGAACATTCCCACTGTGTTCTCCGGGGGAAGACTGAGCTGCATGGGCTTCCGGGAAATGGCATCTTTTCCCTGTGGCCCCTTGGCTTATGTCTGCCCCTCAAAATACTGTTGTAATTGCCTTGGTCAGTGAATACAAAGATAACATCACTACCTCTACTATCTATTGATACAGGCCAATGCTTTACACATTTAATTCATTTAATCCTGGGAACAGTGTCAAGAGGCAAGCAGTGTTATGGTTCCCATTCTGCAGAAGAGGAAGCTAAGACCCACAGATGCTTAGTACCTTGTCCAGGACTACACAAGTAGTAGGTGAAAGAAAAAAATTTGAATCCTGTCCAGGTCCCAGCCCTAGGGCCTGACCCCACCTGGAAGGGCTGGGCAGCTCCTGCAGATCAGAAGCCTCAGACCATTGGAAGCACGAGTCGCTATGAGTGGTCTTCAGACAAGGCCTGCCCTCACCCCAGAGCAATTAAACCAGAATTTCTTACAGTGGGACGTGGGCTTTTATTCTTTTAAGAAAAACAATGGACTTCCCCCCAGCACCATCCTGCCTGAGATCTCTATACATGGGTACAGATCCTCAGAACTGCCCCAAGAGGGGCTACAGCATGTACAAGCACCTGTGAAGATGCACCGCACCACTGTGTAGTCTTCAGCTCTCCTCACCAGTATAATTTCCCATCCTAGTGGTCTCCATGAAAGCTTTGCTCACCCACTCTGCATCCTGAGCTTAGGTATGTGTATGCACTTGCATGAGAATGAGGGCATGACAGAGGCGTGCATGCATGTGAATGTGTGATGGTTCGGGAGGCTGGGGACACCAAGTGGGAAACTTGTGGTTTTTGCTCTCAAGACTGAAACACCTTAGCAGCCACTTATACATGAATGGGCTCTCTAGAGGACTCCTCAACCATTGGCTTGGTGACAGACAGGCAGAGCAAATAACAGACTCACTCAGTGTGAGTTCATCCTTGCTTGCAGCCTGGAGGCCAGCCTCCTTAGGTCCCTGCAGTACCTCATGCCACTCATTAAGGAACCAGGAAGGGATTCTAGGATGTAGCTAGAGCTAGCCCAGAGGGTCAGCTTGGTATTCCTCAAATGGAGAGGAGGTACAGACTACACATTTATCTCAGTCAGACTTGCTCTCATCTCACACAAGTGGACCAAACCTAGGAAAGATTCTTCTGGTGCTTCTGGCACAAGGAACATCCTATTTTCTAACAGGAAACATCGGACATTACCCCACCTTTCCCATCCGGGGTCTCTAGTGCCTTCCCTGAAGGGAATTCTAGACCTCAAAGGCTGAGCTGTCTGGCTACAAATGGAAAAGCAGAATTGAAGCTGGCTGTGAAATCCCCATGAATAAGGGTGGAATAGACACTCCCAGGGATGGTGGTGGGTGGAGTGGCCTGGAGTCCTGTTCTCCTAGCTGGCTTCTCTCCTCTACTTGGGTCCAGGCTCCACCCTGGGAGTCCTGCAGCAGGACAGGCCTCTCGAGGAGGTTTATAATGCCTGCCACCTGATGGTCCCTTCACATGGGCGCTCCCCAAGCAGGCGTATCTGAGGGAGGTGGGAGTTCTCTATGCCCTGCCTTCACCAGACACAGGCCCAGGGAAATAGTCCTTTTTAGAGATTGGAGGGACACACAGTGACAGAAGCAAAGAGCCCGGAAGTCGGCAGACAGACTCATAGAGGTACAAAGGATTATACTTTAACAAAGAAAGGAAAATTAGAGAAGAAAAGGATGAGAAAGATGTTCAGAGTGATGGAACAGCACAGAATATGAGAAAAGGAGACAGATTTGCCAAAAAGGAAAAGCACTGGGCTGGGGGTGTGGCTCAGGTGGAAAGGGCCCCAAGTTCAAACTCCAATTCTGCCAAAAACAGAAAAAGAAAAAGGAATAGCAATGGGACAGACCCCAGGCCTGTACAGGGCAATGGAAAGGACCCTAAATTTGTAATCAGATATTAATTTAGAATCCTGGCTCAGTCACATACCAGCTGTATGCCCTTATGTCATTTGGCTTCCTTCCTCTTTTTTTTTTTTTTTTTTCCTCTGTCAATACTGGGGTTTGAACTTAGGGCTTACACTTACTTGACAGGTTCTCTACCACTTAAGCCACACCCCCACCCTCTTTTACTTTTCATATTTTTCAACAGAGTCTCCCTTTTATGTTAGCATAGACAGCAATCCTATTTATGCTCCCTGTGAAGCTGGAATGACAGGTGTGTGCCACCACACCCAGTTATTGCTGGTTGAGACAGAGCCTCACAAACTTTTTGTCTGGGCTGGCCTCAAATTACATTCCTCCAAATCTCCGGAGGCCTCCTACAGGCGGAGGATTACAGGCATGAGCCACTTTGCCTGGCTAGTCATTCTCCTCTCAGAGACTTGCTTTCCTCATCTCGAAAAGGAGGGTAATACCTTAAATGGTTATCAGGAGAATGAAATTAGATATTGAGTAAAGGGTATACAGCAGGTACTCAAAAATAAATACAAATTAAGGTACTGCGCATCCATTAGAATGGCTACAAT